GGAGATGATTAGTGATGGGATTGTTAAATTATTTTTATATAAAATAAATAAATAAATTATTTCTATATTAAAAAAATTAAAACAAATAGGTGCACTCGGTAAAAAATAAAAAATAAATAAATAAATAAATTTTTTTTTATATAAAATAGATTCAATCCCCTTATTATTTTCCAAATCCCACCTAAAATTCACATAAACTAGTCCCCTTACATAGGGGGATTACTTAACCCCCTTCACTACTAATCCTATGACATTTGTTGTATCCAAACAGGGGTTTGGTAGGTCCCACGGATTGATAATCTAATCCACCCTCCCAAACCCCCAGTCAAACATGGCCTTAGTGAGGGGTATTAGCAGTCCGAACTGAGAGATGGTATTAGCAAAATAGTCTGTTCGAATTAAGTGTTACCAGATGTCCGGCCGGTCAACCGGTCAACTTATATATATATACCTGATTATATATATATATATTTGTTGGGAAAATTTTTTTTTAATACAAAAAGAGAATGCCTCGAATTGAACTGCCTTGAATGGCTCGAATTTGTATTCACAGGTCAACCGCCCGGATGACCGGGTGAAACACTTGTCTTCCGCGACTGTCAACCTCTTTACCCAACGATCGACTGAATGACCGACCGGACGATCGGCAAAACAAAATTCGAGCCATTCGAGACAAGATCAAATTTGAAATACATAGCATTGTTCTTTTTTTTTTAAACATTAATGTTTAATGTTTTTGTATTTTTTGTTAAGTAAAAATCATAATTTTATTTGTTTTATTATTTTATATAAAAATAATTTAATAATTCTCACATTAACAACCATCATAAAAATAAATATAATTTTACTAATCTCCTCACTATCAATCCTTTCACTATTAATTTCCTTCATTCTACTTCTAAAAACAAGCAGGGCCTATTCTCGTTCTATCAATCTCCTCCATTATACTTTTGAAAACAAATAGGGCCTATTATCGTTATAAAATGATATATATCTATATATTTTTTTAGATGATATATATACCTATGTTAATGTCTTAGATTATACAAAAAATAAGCAATCAAGGTAACGGCACATCATTTAAGATAAATTTAGAAGTGATAATTCAGGAGTTACATGATTTTTTCTTGTAATTATACGACACAAATTTAGACAAAGTAATGAAAGGGATATCAAAATTTTTTACTCAAACAGGAAATCTCAAAAAAGAAAATAAATAAATAAAAATTCTGTATCAATACTAAAAAATGGACGCTTTTTTATTATTATTATTATTTATGAAAAGAAATAAAAAAACAAAACAAAATAAAAACACCTGCCTCTCAAACAATAAATAGTGTGTTTGGTTTCAATTTTCTGAATTCAATTTTTTAAAAATTGAGTTTTTTATTTTTTTGTATTTTTTTGTCTTTAGTGAATATTTTTTAAATTTTAAGAAATTTTTTTACTTTTTTAGATGCACCTTACTTAGATGTATCTAAATAGTAAAATATTTGTGAAAAAATATTTTAAAAAATTAATAAATTCATAAAAAACAAAAAATGCACTGAATTTTCTTTTCTTTTCTTTTCTTTTTTTGTATTTTTTAGTATTTAGTGTATTTTTGTAAAGATTTTTTTAACAAATATTATACTTTTTAAGTGTATTTATATTCGGTGCGTCTAAAAATTTAAAAAAATCATTGAAAATATTAAAATTTGAAAAATAAAAAAATAAACTTTTTTTTAAAATTATTTTCTAAAAATCAGAACCAAACAAAATGGAAGTAATCTAGAAATAATTCTCCACACTCTAACCACAAAAAAAGAGAAACAATTATCTGCCCTATTTATAGTAGTATGACATTTGTCATGCCAGACAAAAAATATTAACGTCTTGTTTGGTAAGATAGTTGAGACTAATTGAACTTATTAAAAAATAAAGGTATGGCATGGGAAGAAAAAAATTAGGTTTTTTTTGGTTAAAATAGTCATAAAAAATAAAATAAATTTTTTAGTTTAATAAGATAAAATATCATATCCAATCTATAATCATTATATTTTTCTCTTACAAACAAATCAAAAAAGCTAAAAGTTTTTTATCCCCAAGTTAAAATAGCCAAAAAAATTGAAAAGCCAAAAAGTCAACCTAAAACCAAAACCATACCAAAATAAGCTAAAAAGAATCAAAAATTTATTTCAAACAAAACTTTTTTAAGGGCTTGTTTGGGGTGTCCTAAATAAGTGTACTTTTTGTCTTTTTAGACTAAAAAATTGAGGAAAAAAATATAGATGTTTGGGTTAATTTTTTTTGGGTTAACTTTTTGACTTTTTATGGAAAAATGTGTATTAAAAAATTATATAAATTAGTGCGTAGGGAAAAATTAGGATTGAGAGTTGTGCAGCCGTAATTTTTGACTTTTGGTGAATAGTGATAACTTTTTTTATTTTTGGAGTAACTTTTTAGTTTTTTAGCTTTTTGACAACTTGCCAAACTTGGCCTTAATCAGAGCCTCCGTTTGAGAATTGGGTTGACTTTTTGATTTTTTGGCTTTTTCGGTTATTTTAGCCTGGGTTAAAAAGTTTAGTTTGGGAAAGGTTTTTTGGCTTTTTAAATTTTTTGACTTTTTTGTGAGAGAAGAGTGTAATGATTATGAGTTGGATGTGATGTTTTGTTTGTTGTGATTAAAATAGTCTATTTTATCTTTTGTGGTTATTTTAGCCCCAAAATCACTTGCCAAACACTACCAGACAAAAATAGTAAAAAAAAAAAATTTTAATGGGTAAATTACATTTACCTCCCCTGAGGTTTCTGACAAATACAGGGACCTCCCCTGTAGTTTTAATAATTACATAAACCTCCCCTACTTTATCTGACAATATCAAGATTCCTCCAATCCGTCAATTTTACACAAACGACATTACTTACCTATACAAAATGACTATATTACCCTTTTATTTGACAGCAAAAAGACGAAAATACACATTGATCTTGTCAGTTTTGTTAACCCCACCATATACAAAATGATTTTTTTTGTTCTCTCTCTGTTCTTGTATGCTTTATGTGCAAATACTGGTCCAAGTTACATCTTCTGGGTTGCTATGTTAATCTACACAGAAGTGTATATCTTGCTTCAATATCTGTATTCTTAACTCCCTTTTCAATCCCATCACCACCACTATCCTCCTCTACTACTACTACCTCCCTCGCCACTGTCCACCACCGGCAAGAGCGGTGGCGACGAGTGGAACAAAGCTTGAGAGTCCGCCTGGCTCCCCGACATCGACTGACCCATATGGGAGACCGACTGACCCCTAACCCCTATGGGACCCGAAGACCTCTCCGGCAACAACTGACCCCTATGGAAGATCGACATCAACTTCTCCGACAACGGCAACCCTTCCGCCGCCACTCCTCTCTTCCGACATCAACGCCAAAATGAAGGTCTTCGTTGAGGACACACCACTGCCTCCCTCTATTTCTCTATCTACCCACAAGTCTTCTTCCACTTCCTCTCCTCCACCGACCGTCGCTCACTTTTCCTCTCCTCCTCCTCTTATTCTTCTGAAGCCCTAACCCTAGATCTATAGTTTTTAGAGCGATGGTAAGCAGTGATGGCAGCAACGTTGGGTTGCAATCTAGGTTGTGGCGGTTGGTTGCGATCTAGGTCGCAATCGGGAGAAGAAGAAGAAGAAGAAGAGGAGGAGAAGAAAGATGATGAGAGAAGATGGACAAATGGCTAGAGAAAGAAAGGGGGAGAAGGAGAGGAGGAGGCTGGAAATGGTGGTGGTTTCAGAGAGACCCAATTTTTGCACTAATCCAGTACCTTATTTTCTTTGGGAGATAATGGCTATGGTTTGATTTTGATTTCTATTGGGTTTGATTTTGCACTGATTTTTTTGGAGAGGTGGTATTGATGGTGGCTATCCAACTTCTCAACTGAGTAATTGTGGATTAAGGCTTCAGTTGAGTATGAATATTTACATCTTCACCTATTCAGTTTTTTGTTTTTGGAGGTTGTAGAGCTTTGCAGTGTTGGTGCTTTCTTTTTTTTTTTTAAAAAAAATTGGGAGGTGTTTCAGTGGTGAGTGTGTGCAGTGGTAGTGGTGGTTTGGGGGTTGCAGAGCTAGTAGAGCTTGGGGTTTGACTGGTGGCGTAGTTAAGCTAATAACAATGATGGCCATGTTATGGGTGTTGTGTTGCTGCTTCTACAGCACTGTTAATTATGAATTTTTTTTTATTTATTTATTTTTTTGTTTGTGCAGAGAAAGCAAAGGGAAGAGATAACACTTAAGGAGATTGGATTAAGTGTTGCATTTGAGGGCATTATAGACATTTTGGCATTTATCTTTGATGACATCAGTCACTTCCGTTAGTTGTGTAAACAGAAGTCAAAAAATGGAGGTATTTTGATATTGTCAGATAAAGTAGGGGAGGTTTCTGTAATTATTAAAATCACAGGGGAGGTCCCTGTATTTGTCAGAAACCTCAGGGGAGGTAAATGTAATTTACCCAATTTAAAACCCAGATTAAAAAGTTTTTTTCAAAAATGAGTATCTCACCTCTGATCAATTGAAATCAAATTGGAGCGTCCCATCATAAGGACTTGTCCTAGGACAATCAAATAATTTTTCCCAAAACTACTCAAAAAATAAGAAAAAAAACTTTAGGAACTCTAAACTATGGGGTGTTTTGAGAAGTTGGTAAAAAGTTAGCTTTTGACTTTTTACCAAATTTTTTGACTTTTTTGGAGGTGATTTGGGAATTTGGTAAAAAACTGACTTTTTTTTTTATTTTTGGTTTAATATTTATTTATGGCATCAAATCAAAATAAAATGACCAATATATCCTTGCCAAACTTTGAAATTTTAGGTAATTTGTTAACATAGAGGGTATTTAAGTAATTTCACAAGGTAGCTTTTTTGTCACTTGCCAAATGCAACAAGGCAGCGTTTTCGGCCAGACAGCTTTTTTTCACAATGCCAAAAACGCAACCTTTTTGGCATTTTCCCAAAATGGCACTATGAATTCTAGGAGGCTCACTTATTTATGTGATATTTTAGCTTTAGAATTTTTTTATATTTTTTTTTGAATTTTCACCTTATTAGTGTTTAATTAGAATCTTAAAATTAGAGGGATAAATCATTTTTAAAAAAATAAAAAGGGAAATAAAGAATAAAAGAATTTAAAAAAAAAAAAAAAAAAGGAAAAAGTAAAGCACCCTCCGTCGGAAATATTCAAACCTAGAATGAAACCTTGCTTCCCGCTTAACCACGCTCCTCTCTCTCACTCTCTCACACACTCAAACAGAGCAAAGGCAAAGGCAAAAGTAGAAATCTCATGAAAGCAGATTATCAATGTTAATGGCCGATCTCTGACTCTGCTCCGGCCAATCAGGTGACCTAATGCTAAGCTCAAGCTCTCTGCTCTTCTTCATGTTTTTTTTTTTCTTCTTCTTCTTCTTCTAGGGTTTCTTATGGTGGTGTTCTGCGAAGTCTGAATAGGTCACTGCAAACTTAATATTTACCCTCATTTCTGTTGAATTGATCGCTTGTTTTATAATTTTCATAAGAGCTTCATACAGATCTTATTATCTGCATTTCACTTAGATAATATATTATTTAATGTGTTGCTTGCAACAAATAAAGTACCACTGAACCAAATTTCGATTTTTAGATTATTATTTGATTTTTCTTACATTTAAAAAAAAAAAAAAATTCAATGTTCTTGAGAGTTTTTTGTTGTTCCATTTCCAATTGTATTACATGATATGCATTGCCAGAAAAGGATTAGTCATATTCTTAAAATGATTTAGACATGGAATCATTACCGGTTTTGAGCAGTACCTACAAATTTGCTTTTCTGTTACACGGCGTGGCTCTGCCAAACTTTTCATCTATATGTCAATTTGTTTCTTGAATTGAGTTGTTTATTTCAGTATTGATAGAGCATGTTGCCTTATATTCATCTTTTTACTGTATCAGGAAATCTTGATAATTCATATTCAGAAGAAAGGAAATGGATCGAGTTCATGACGAGTTACATGAACTTAAATCAGAGATGGAAAAACTCAAAGAAGAATGCCGGACCAAGAAGGAGCTTTCTGAGAGTTTGAGGAAAGCCCACAATGAACAGCTAGTAAATTTCATGGAAGCTAAGTCGCTGATTGAGGAACAGGCCCAACAACTCAATGCCAAGTCTGAGGAAATATCCGAGTTAAGGCAAATCTGTGAGGAGCTCAAATCCACCTTGCACGAAAAGGAATTGTTCCTTAAGGACCTCAATTTTGCGAATGAAAAACTTCGAGTTGAATATGGTGAGAGAATTCAAAAACTGGAGGGAGAAAACAAGGTGTTGGTGTTGGCTTTAGATGAAGCAACAACAAGAACTCAAGATTGGGAGAAGAAGATTTGTGCTGGTAACGAAGAAATTGAAGGACTTAAAAGACTCGTATTGATTGCGGAGAAGAAATGCCTTGAAGCAGAGCGAAAAGCCAAGGCATCTGAAGAGCTGGAACGGAGAGAGAATGTGATACTGAAAATTGAGGATGAAAATAGGAATGTTCAAGATCAGTTGAAATGGAAGAGTGAACAGTTTATGCATCTCGAAGAAGCACATACGAGGCTTCAAGACCAGTTCCAGTTGAGCAAGGTGGAGTGGGAGAATGAGAAATCGGAACTGTTTGACGAGATCTGTTCATTGCAAACAAGGTTGGATTCTCAAACCAGAATCTCACAAAATCTTCATAGCCAATTAAAGATGTGCAACCAAGCACTATCTCATGAAGAAAGCAAAAGAAAGATTCTGGAGGTCGAGGTGTTTGAATTGAAATCGCACTTTGAGAATGTAATTTTGGAGTGTGAAGAAGCGAAATCAAGGATCGAAAACTTGGCCCTTCAGAGGGATGAAGATATTGCAGAGCTAAGAAACACACTGGGAACTAAAGAAAGCCTCTCCAAAGAAATGGAGTACAAAATTTCCCATCTCGAGCAGGAGAATCAGGAACTGTACGGATCTCTCAAAGAATGTCGGGAGGTTCAAATCAAGAATGCTGGAGGCAATTCGTTAAAAAAGCTGCAAAACAAACTTCGAGGTTTGGAGCAGTTGCATAGCCAATGTTCTGTGAATCTCAAAGAAAAAGAAGCTGAATGGAGTTCTCGGATCGAAAAGATGACAAGAGATATAAATGGCTACATATCTGATTTAGAGGGTAAAGACAAAGAAATACAGGAATTGCAGATGAAGCTAGAAGGTTGCCATTGTTTGTTGGAGGTTCAGAATGAAGAGATTTATGTAGTAACCATGGTATTGAAATCAGAATTCTCTGCAGTTTACACAAAGCTGTTTGATGAAAAAGCTGAAATAGAGAAAAGAAACGAAGCGAGGGAAGATAAAATTTTGCTTCTAAGAGAGCAATTGGAGACAAAAAACAGTGCTCAATCTGAAGTTGATGGCAAGCAGAAGGGGGAGGAAGGAAGATTCCTAGTGGAGAGGGTTGAGTGCTCTGATCGTATTAAACATGAGGAGAGTTTCATGGCGGAGGAGGAGCTCGAGAGGCATAAGAAAATGCTCGATGAATTATCTAACTTTCATGCTTGTTTGGAAGAACAAGTTGTGCAAATGGAAAGTGAACTAAAAAGGAGCAGCAAAGATGTTTCATATGCTTTAGAAAGAGCTAATTGCGAATTGGCCAGGAAAATTCATTTAGTCGATCAAACCAAACTTGAACTGCGGAGATGGAAATCTAGTGCAGAAAAGGCAAAAGTGTATTTTGAAGAAAACCACGAAGTCCTCAAGCAAGAAAAAGATAGCCTCCTTGGCGTTGTAAAAGAGCAAGATGGGAAAATAGGTCATCTTCAGCAACAGGTTGTTCTACTAGAATCAACAATTGCAGCAAATATGAAGGCGATAGAAGCTCTAAAGCAAGAGAAAGAGAACTATTACCTAATTGCAGAAACTAAGGATCATAGCATAGAAAAGCTTCAAGAAGAGAATGCTTGGTTGAAGCAAGAGTCTGCAAAGAGAGAACAAGCACAGTTAGATGCACAAAAGACATTGGCTGAAGAGGAAGAGAGAATTCTAGAATTTATAAAGGAGAAAGACCAGAGAATAGAAGATCTCAGTGCACAAGCAATGTCAATGAAGCAAGATTTTGAAAGTTCATTGGTTTCTTTCTTTTCTGTAGTTACAGAAAAACAGATTGAAATCAATGTACTAAACGAAGTGTTGGAAAAGGCTGAGAATCTGAAAAGGTTTGAAATTCAAGAGAAGAACAAGAAAATCGATGAACTGGAAACAGAAACCAATGAGTTACGTCAAACATTGGAATTTCAGGAGGAATCTTTGCTTCAATCGCAGAAACAGATAACAAAGTTGGAAGAGGCTGAGAATCTGAAAGAGTTAGAAATTCAAGAGAAGAACAAGTCAATTGATGAACTGGAAACAAAAACCAATGAGTTGTGTCAAAAACTGAAATTTCAGGAGGAATCCTTGCTTCACTCGCAGAAACAAGTGGCAAAGCTCGAAGCTGTATTGGAAACGCACAAATCAGAAACAGAAGGATTGAAGGACCGGTTTTGGAGCGAAAAGGGGCACATGGAGGGCCTAGTTAAAGAGCTTCAGTGTGAGAAAAGATGTCTGCTTGAAGACATGATGAAGCTGTCTGCAGAAAGGGAAGATATGCTAATTCGAATGGAGGGAGTCTGTAATTGGATCGGAGACTTTTCTGGTGAAGATGTTGACCTGATGGACATTTTTGGGAAAATCTTGCAAAATTGTGACAATAGCAATGGACATGCAATGGATTTGGTGAGTGATGGGCTTTCTGATTCACGCACTGATGGTGAAAACACGCATATCTCTTCCTTGATAAAGAACATTGAAGAGAGAATTGACAAAAGATCACCATTGAAAGCACTCAACCATTAGAAGGCTCTACTTGGAGAGACAATTAATTCTTCTAACAAATGTCAGGAGGTGATTTATTAATTCACAACTATCGTATAATGTTGGAGTCGGAGATGTAATGAAATGGTGTTTCGAACTATCTTTAACTTGCGTGCTGTCATTTGTAAGTACGTAGAGATTGAAATGTTTGAATCCTTGCAATTTTTCTCTCCTTTTCTCTTGGAAATGTGTTTTCCAAAATGTTACACAATCGTTTCGCGAATGTGCATGCCATATGGTGATTTTAATATCTAAACCATCCGTTTGTTCTCATATCTCACTCGTGCCAGATATTGCCACGTGCCAAATTTGGTGCTGCTAGGAAGTCAAATTTGTGTTATAAATTATAATTTGGTTATTGAGACTTTTCTGGTGGTGTTTTGTTACAACGCAAATTGGTTGTAGTTATGACAATTTGTGGTGTTTAGTCATGAACTCGAGTGATTTTGGTTATGAACAGTTTTTTTTTTTTTGGGGGTGAACCGAAGTGATACTGGTTACGCGACTAATGCAGTGTTTTTGTTATGAAACAATTTAATTTTGTTATGATCCAAATTGGGTAGAATTTATGAACGGCTGTGACTCAAATTTCATATACGCTTTTGAGGGGGTGTGTGCAGCAATACGTCCCTACTGGAATGGTGATAATTTTACCTGGGAAGCATCAAATGTATGTGGAACTTGGGTTTAAAACCAATTAAACCCCAACACCACCCCTTCTCAAAAGGGAAAGAAAAGGAAGAAGGTAATAAAAAACAAACTAGAGTCAGTCACGACTTGCCAGTTCCACAGTGCAAGAGATATTTTTTTGTGGTTGGATGTGATGTTTGTGAGAGAAAAAGTGAAATGATTATGGGTTTGATGTGATATTTTGTCTTATTAGTTATTTTAGCCTATTTTGTCCTTTTGTGATTTTTAGCCTAAATTTGACTATTTTTTTTCTTCCCAAACACCCCCAAATTATAATTTGGTTATTGAGACTTTTCTGGTGGTGTTTTTGTTACAACGCAAATTGGTTGTAGTTATGACAATTTGTGGTGTTTAGTCATGAACTCGAGTGATTTTGGTTATGAACAGTTTTTTTTTTTTTTTTTTGGGTGAACTGAAGTGATACTGGTTACGCGACTAATGTAGTGTTTTTGTTATGAAACAATTTAATTTTGTTATGATCCAAATTTGTAGAAATTATAAACGGCTGTGACTCAAATTTCATATACGCTTTTGAGGGGGTGTGTGCAGCAATACGTCCCTACTGGAATGGTGATAATTTTACCTGGGAAGCATCAAATGTATGTGGAACTTGGGTTTAAAACCAATTAAACCCCAACACCACCCCTTCTCAAAAGGGAAAGAAAAGGAAGAAGGTAATAAAAAACAAACTAGAGTCAGTCACGACTTGCCAGTTCCACAGTGCAAGAGATAAGACAGTATTTGATCCCCTAATTTATCTCTACACAACAAATCTTTGAAACTTTATATACTACAAACCAAACTCTTTGGTACCACTCTGAAAAAATAACAGAAACCTTACAATACCTAGGTAGTATTGACATAACCAGATTGTATCAAATACTTCAACAGGGATTAGTAAAAGAATCCCCGCTGATACAAAACAATTTCAATGTCTCGCATTGTAATGCAAATTGAACATAGGAGGAACTTTCACTTTTTCTTGCTCTTACTTGATGAACCGGAACTTTGAGAAAATTTCATAAGCCCTTGCCTCAAAGCCCCAAGAGTTACCCCGTTTCCAACCAAGATGCTGGTCACACCCATTTTCGAAACCTGCACAACACACAAGTAGATTATAGGGTTTAATTGGTGACAATGTCTTAAGAAAATTTTAACCAATAATCTGTTGGAGTGCTCTGTCTAAATAAGTCAAGGTAGAAAATCAACAGCATGTGGTCTGTTTTTACCGCTTCTATGTTCCGATCCTCATCATCAAAAAAGATCATTGAATTATAGGGCACCCCGGTCCTCCAATTAATTCTTTGGAAGTGCTCTGTCTTGTGTGTCCAACTAGAAAAAATCTCCTGCGTACCGAAAGAAATATTTAAAGCAGTGGCCATGGTTTTTAGAATCTTAGGAATCATGATTCAATATGAATTTCAACCCAAACGATTCGATTCGTCCAGTCCTAATTCGTCCAATCCTGTTGAATCTTAAATTAAGTGAATCTTATGATCCATTGTGATTCACTATGATTCATTACGAGTCATTGCAATTCAATTCTATTTGCATAATGCATGAAATAACGTCGTTTTTGCAACCAAAAATAAATAAATAAATAGAAGAAAAAAAAGATCACTTAATTATATTGATATGCGTGGTTTTGTATGTATATAGATATATATAATTTAGCTATATTGAGATTAATCAATTATATTGATATACCCATAGCACTTTCAGAAAACTACTAGCCATGCCAACGACAATGAAGTTAGAGATAGAATTTAGTAGGGCAATTTTAGGTATTTACCTCTCTTGACTCTCTGGAAAGGTTTTAAAAACTGGATTGGACCGGCCAATTCGACCGGTCGGGGTTTTGGTCCGAATATATCCTCTAAACCGTTCCAATCCAAAAACTGGCCTATTTAGAGAGAACCGGAAAAATCGACGGTTGGACCGCTGAACCGGTCGACTCGAGGACGGGTTAGGTGAACCGAATGGGTTGATAAAATTAAAAATTTTGAACTTTTTTTTGATATTTTCTAACTATTCTTTTTATTCTTTCTTTCTTTTCTTTCTTATTTTTTTTTATTTTTATATATATATTATATATAAGAAAATTTTAATTAGAAACTCTCTTTCAAAAGTCTCCTCTTGTGAGGAATCCCATTGAGAGCTTGAAATTATTGTAAAAGTCTTTACCTATTTATAAGAAAAAAACATTCTTCCAAATAAACTTAAGAAATCCATGTAGAATTCAATCAAATTTATTGGAAGGAGACTTGAAACTTTCACATCCCTCCAAAATTTTTGCTCTTCTTTCAATCTAATTATTTGAATTAAAATCATATGGAATGAATATTGAATATTTTGTTTCCTATTCCAAAATTAAAATTAATAATATTTTAAAATATATTATTATATTTTTTAGTAAAAAAAAATATTAGGAGAAATATTTAAGATAATTTAATATTTTTATTTTTTTTTAATTTATAATTTTATAACTTATATTTTTATTTAAATATAATTTTAATATATTTATAACGTTATAGTTCGATTCCGGTTCAACTCGACAGTTAAACCAGTGACTTGGGTGACCCATCCAGCCAATCCCTTTTCCGATTCGCTCGCCAGTCCGGTTTTTAAAACATTGCTCTCTGGGCTATGTAATTTTCTAATTCAAACTTAATAACAAGCACTAAGAAGAAGAATAGCAAACAAAATCAAAAGCATTCCCAAAAACTCACCAGGGCTACAAACATTGATCTTATGTCCAATTTGTCAAGAAACGTCTTTGCTATATCTGCAGTAGGCGATCTAGATGCAATGGCAACATCAATTCCCTTGTCCTTGCATGCATATAAGATGCCTTTGGCATGGGGATACAATGATGGCATTTCACGCTTGGAGCGACATTCACTGACAAATAATCAGCTACTTACATCAACAATTAAGTTTTCTAAACATTCATTCAAGAAACAATCAGATCATAGTGCAAAATTAGCTTTCCACCTTCCCTGTTCTTGTTTAGTGATGTGTAAAGAGGGAAAAAAACGAGATTAGCAATTAGGAAGTACAAGCTACAATGTCATTATAATCATTATTGTAGTTTGTAGAGCCATAGAAGTCGTGACAGACATATCAGATGAAAACGAAAGGATCCACAATTCCACATCATAAAGAAGATCACATAGTACAATCATAACGGATTTAGTAACACCTTCAAGGTAAGAAATGTTAAAACGCCTTGCATGATAAGGAGAATCACATTGTACATTTGTTGCTGAATCAATAACACCTTGAAGGTAAGAGATGTTAAAACACCTCCAATGATTCCCCCCCTCCCCTTCTTTTCCCCTCTATTGAAGTGGTTAAAACTGTTGGTTGAGAAATGCAAATGGTTGTATAGCGTCTCCTTCAATATCACCAAGGCCCCGTTTGCTACAGCTTAAATGAGTTAATTATAACTTATTTTAATTAGAGAGTATATACCAGACTATTTGGTGCAACTTCTGCTTATAACGTATTAGATAAAAATAACTTAAACAAGATGAAAAAAGAAGCTAGGAGAGGGGTGCTTCCAGCTTCTGCTTTTTAATTACTCAACAAGGTTTGAGTACATATGTTGTAAAAAGTTGCCCACGTAAAAGGTCAAAGGTTTATGTACACAACCAAACTTCTACTTATGTATGCACTAACCTCTATTTGACAACAAACCAACTAGTGGAAAAAGTTGTATGCAGTCAGATAAGCACAAACGTCTACTTATGGATTACAAAGATTGTCCCTTACCTTCAACTATGCAGCTCAATCAGTTAGATAACATTAATTTGGAAGCTAATGAATACTCCATCCCTTGATCTTAGTCAAAAGATCAAATCAAATACTGAAACAGATAGTCATACTAGTGGTATAAAAAGTTGTTGCAACTGATTGAACTAGAGATAAAATATGTATCTATTCTCATAGCTGCTAAAAAGAAGAAAAGTATCAATTTTCAAGGATGTTCAAGAAATGTATATTTTAGTTTCACCATTTAAATGAATCACTCAATCTTCTTGTTTGGAATGTAGGGTAATTGGAAGTCAAATCAGCATGACGTTTAAGCATCTCTTCACCATCGATTAATGTGAGTGTGTGTGTGTGTGTGTATAAGATCTTGTGTTCTGAGGAAAATAATCAATAATTACTAAATTTGAGATAATACATTTATTAATAATAATTAATCATCATAGCAAAGAAAATAAACCCTATTATGCAACAAAATTCAAACACACAGAGACAGCAAATCGAAGATGTATTATTCTCAACCAAATCAAATTAAAAGCTAAAAACTGAGAAGAATCTTCGTTGAGGAAAGGTGAAATTGAAACAATAATTACACAATTATCGTAAAAAAGAAGAAGAAGATAACTGAGGAATGAGTATTACCAGTAGAAAGGCCAGAGAGTGTAGTCGAGATCGAAGACAACCAAACGCGGAAGTACTTCAAACATTGCCATTATCTCCATCGCCTCCTTCTTCACCTTCTCGTCCCCCATCTCTCTCTCTCTCTCTCTCTCTCTCTCTCTCGCGGCTCTTCAGATTTTTTTTTGATGCCAAACGGATGGAAATGCTACATATCATTTTTTGAATAAAATTCTCAACATTATGCAATCTTTTTTGGTTTAAATTATTTATTTAAATCACCATTAATTTTATTTACTTAAAAATATTATTATAAAGATAAGGGGAATGCACCAATAAATCTTAAATTTTTATCTTATGACCGATTTAGTCCTATATTTTATCTTATGATCCAATTAGTCCAAAGCTAATGTTAATGACAAAATAACCAGTGTTACACTATGTTTTGTGTTTTTTAGTAAGGATAAATGAAGAAAACCCCAACGTGATATTGACTGAAATGCCTAAAACTCTGTAGATGTTTGTTTTCCCTCCAAACACATAGTTACGCCGATGTTAATGGCCTTTTTTTTGGATTGGTGTTCATCACCATCAACAACATCAATTACATCACCAACATCACTAAAAAAAATCATAAAAAATCATCAATATCACAAAAACATCATCAAACATCGTCAACTACATCACCAACATTACTAAAAAAACATCATCAAATATCAGCAACATCATAAAAATATCATCAAATATCAACAACATCAAATTTTAAAAAAACATCATCAAACATCGTACATCACCAACATTAATCATCAACATGTGAACATCAAACATTCCGGTCCAACAACATCAACAAAAAATTTGAATTTTAGGGCTTAATCGTATAACACAGTGATGTTCTTCAAACTCTCATTTTTCAGATCGCATCTCCACTATCAACAAAACCCCACTTTGATCATCTTCTTTGCCATTGAATCTAGGGTTCAGATCCAGATCTGGTAGGTCGCGGACCCTTAGATGATAGCCACGGGTGGAGAGAGGCAGTGGAAGTGAAATCGGTCGTTTCCTCTTCTACCGCGATCGCGTTGGACGTTGATCGAGCTACGCTGATGAGGTAAAGCCGGCAATATTTTCTGACGAAGACAGGTTTGAGGTTTCCAACAGCAGAGGCGGCGTAGTCGCCGTCGTCTGTGGCGGTTACAGAGTAGGAGCTAATGGTGCGATGAATGGATCGCCGCCTAGGGTTTCACGATCTGAGAGAGAGAGGGGCAATGGTTCTGGTGGTGGATCTTGAAGTAGGTGAGGAGGAGGCAGTGGATGGAGGAGTGGCGTCACTGGAGGAGAGGCGGTGGACAGAGGAGATGGACTCCTAAGAAGATGAAGAGGAAAATGAGGGAGAGAGAGAGAGAGTTTGGTGATGATGTTTACAATGTTGATGATGATGTTCGAATTTATTGGTGAAGATGTAGTTGATGTTGATGATGTTCATAATATTTTGATGATGTTTGTTGATGTTTTGTTAATGTTTGATGTTGTTGATGTTTTGATAATGTTGTTAATTTTTGATGAAACAAACATTTCACAAAAAGGGTATTACTGTAACCTACAAAATAATAAAAATTAAATAAACAACATTACCAAAATAAAATAGGACTAAATGGTGCATAAGAAAACTTTTAGGACTAAATAGTTCAACTTTTCAGAAAATAGGATTTATTCTGTCATGGATTTTTGTTAAGATTTTTAAAGCATGTGTGAATTGAAAAAAAAATATGAATTAACGGTGTTTTGAAAATATGGTTAAAAATCGACTTTTTAACTTCTTTTTTTAAAAAAAATACGTAAAAAAAATATGAGAGATGATTTGACTTAAAATGAGTTAAAAGTTAAGAAGTAATTTTTTTCCTACGAAAAATTAAAGTGTGAAAATAATTTATTTATTTTTTCTTTATGTTTATTCTATAAAATTAAAATAACAATTACAAATAATTGATATACTCTTTGCACAATGGGCTATTATTTCCATAATGGAAAAAGAGATTTTACCTAAATCATTTCCTTTGATTTTCCCAAATCATGCCAGACAACAAAAAGAATTTAGATATTCTCATTTTTTTTCTCATTTTTTTATTTTTTATTTTCCTTTCATAAATTCAAAAACCAAACAGAAAGCAAGGAAAGTGACACATACTTCATTACAAAACATAAAAAGGAAAATGTCATATAAACAAACTTACACTTTTACAAACCAATAGTGGCATGCATTAACAAAACATTAGTACTTGAAATGGACCTACTGAAAGATAGGAACAACTCAATTGCCACATCAATTTGTAAGAAAATTTTGTTTGCATTACATATGTACAAATATTACATGGAAAATATATTGTAACAAGGGTAAGGGATAACAAAATGAATTGACAATAACATATGCCCCTTCCAAACTCCCCCCTCCTCTGATTTGGTTTTGGTAAGGTGTTTGATGGATTGCTATTTACTTCCCAAAGCCTAACCCAAAAGCTTTGTAGACTCTATCAACCTAAATGCCATTCATAACAAAAACACTTCAGTGCCGGTCATTCGACAGGCTTCACATAAGTCATCGTCGTCTTCTTCCACCTTCAGGAGTCATTAGCCTTGGCCTTTTTGCAGCCACCTGTTCTTCTGATTCTGACATGGGCCGTATATTATTTCCTCGAACAACAATGTTTTCTGTTGCGTTGGCTTCTTGATTGGACGAGCCAAGAATTTTTCCTAGTTGGAAAGTAAACTTTTCAGTTTCATTCACATCAAGGGTCTCATCTTCCTCTTGAGAATCCTTGACAACACAAGCTGTCCCATCTTCTTCTTCAGAATCCTCGATAATGTAAGTGGCAAACTGATCACTTGATGTTGAAGGAGATTCAGATTTGTCATTCCCTCTTGCAGGATTTGAGCCCAAAAATTCCTGAGACAGGCTATCATTCACCTCAACCTCTGACGAAATAAGGGATCCACCAATAGATGTTCCTGAGAATGAATCTCCAAGCTCAGATTCATCAGGATGCAAAGAGACAACTGAGGATGAAGATGTCTCCAATGAGCTAATCTCCTTGGCAGAATATGCATGCATGAAAGGTTCAGTTACTTCAGCCAATCGCTGGCAACCTGCTTTGTCTGTTGGTGTATAAGGAAATTGCTCCAATGTCTCTTCGCATTCCTGTTTCCGAAAAAACAGAAGAACAAGCAAAAAAGGTGTAATGACAAAGTATATGATAGGATAGGGAAGAGTACTTCTAAGAAGGTGATGCACCTGTGTCGGACACATGTCAGGCACTGAGACTCATCAAACACTCCTCAACACATGATGGACATGAGTCCAAACATGTCCTACTATATTTTTTTAGAAACAGATATGTTTCTAAGGTGTTTCAAACATGTTGGAGATGTTTCACAAGGTTCTATTGCAATGAATTTCTCAAGCAACTAAAATCACGAGTGCCGGTAGCAACCATGATTTAAACACCAAATTGTAGTGTACACATCTTTAGAGAAAAAATATTCATCATCATTTCAATGAAGAGAAATTACCTCTATTGGTGACATGACATTCTTTGATTGATCAAGTGATACCATTTGCCCAAAGGACCGGTTACTTCTATCCCTGAAAATTGAATGCTGTTCTTTTGAAGATTGAACACATCTCAGGGGGGTTGCCACTAATGGCGTAGTTTCAATTTCTTGATCAGCAACAGAACTGGAATAATTGCTATGACATATTTCTGGTGAATTGAATTTCTCCTGCAGAATCTCTACACCAGTGTCTTTCTCATCCATGCCAGGTAATTCAGAAGAAGGATCTTTATCATCACTGCGAGGAGCTGGAGGGGCTTTCTGAGAATTATCTTCAACAATTTCATAGATCAATTTCTTGATATGAGCACGTTTAAGAGAAACCTCAGCAGGTGGGAACCAATCCTTATTAAGCTGAAAAAAATTAGCAAACTATTCAACTCTCCATATGCAACTCCACATGCTTACAAAGTAAATTAAGCATACAATCCAGTAAATACTTGGCTTGCTATGCATTATCAGAATTTTTGAAACAACAAAAGTAAAAAAAAAAATTAAAATCCAAAAGGATTGTTGTCATGACTTTTGTGGTTTCTGTAAAAAAGGCAAAATTTTAATTTTAATTTTTTGTTAAGCAGAAGTTAGTAGTGCACTTTAGTCCTGAAATCACAGTTAGTTGCTTATTTTTTAATGTTAGGGTGTTATGTGCGCATGCCATAGGAGGGTAAACTGAAATCTTTCCTGCGAAGCTACGACTAATAACAATATTTATCAATGTCGTAAAATAAAACCATTTATATTTTTCTAAATATATTGCAAAAAAAATTTACAAAAAAATCTAAATTCATGTCAACACAATATTGGTGCATTTTTCTCTATGTTCCAGAATTTTGCAGGTGTCATGCACCAAAAATAAAAAACAACTCACACGTCAAATAATTTAAATAATGCAATCATCAATTTGGAACAAAACCACCAACAGGGAAGTCAAATAAACATATACCATTTAGGCTGATTTCCAACCAAGAATATAAATTTCAAGGCTAGTGAAACAGATAAGATCGCTTACAAAGTTGGAGAACTTGGTTATTTTGAAGGGGCTGAAGTCAACAGGAGCTCTGTCCAGAAAAAGTTCCACATAATGGAGCAAAAAGAGGCCACAGTCAAAAGAGTTTTCTTGCTGTGGTAGCTGAACCAAAATGAAATGAAAGTTAACAAACATTGATATTCATAAAACAAAGAGCAAATTACATCTTCACACACTCTACCCATGACTATTGGCCGGTTGTAACCCTATTCCAGTTTGGGGTTGTGCCAGTAACTCTAAAACTTATGATCTAAGCAAAATTAAGGGCATTCAGATGTCTCAGGAAAATTAAATCAGTATGTGTGTGAGCAATCATGAAATAAACTTTTATTGTATATTGGATTACTCAACCAAACATGGATTGCTAATTGGGGAAAAAATACATATTTACAGCTCATATAGATATGTCTCACTTACAAGTTTAAGGGAAATATTGTGATCTCAAATAAAAAGAAAAGAAATACTACTTATCCAAAAAGAGAAGAAGAAATACCTCAAGAGAGACAAACCGTAAATTCAAAAATTTTGAAGAAACATCTTCTAATAGTCGATTCTGCCTCTCTTTCCACTCTTCCCAAAGGTAACTGTCATGACATGATGAAGGAAGCAACTGTTACAATTAATTCTTGAAATCACAAAGAAGACACACAGGCTTTATTAAAAAAAATCTTATTTCATATGAATAACAATGATATAACACATGAAATTCAAACTTCTCAAGCAAGCAAATGAATTGTTAGATCGAGGTGGTTGGTGATTTGTTGAAGAGCCAGGCAAGAAGGGAAAGTCTACAGTAAGGATGGAATGACACTGAGGATGTCAACTCAACCAACTATGCCATATGGTTTAACCATCCAAGCAACACTTTCTTTCTATGAAATTTGAAGTTCATATCTGTACAATCTAAACATTATTATTTTTATTTGAGGCTAAAGGTCCTGTGTCCCAAACTAGTTACTGAAATCTTTGGCGAGTTCCTGCATTAGACATTGAAATACGGTAAAGAGGATTCAATTTATTGGCCATAAATGAAGAACAATAACAACAGGTCCATTACAAAATAATTCTTCTTGTTTAACTGATATAACCCCACACCATCAATTCCATAGATTATGAGAAATCATTATACATTCAAAATCAATTCAAGAAAGAGTAGTTTCATATTAAACTTACCTTTTGACTCCTCACAAATCTTGTTGATGTGATTTGAAATACAAGCCAAGTATACCTAATCCTGATGTAATTTTTCATGCTCGAAGAACGTATTTAATTTTTGTTCAATAAAAGGACAAAAAAAAAGAAAGATGTGATATTTTAATTATCAGTCAAATCCTTATACATCATGATTCATGGACTACATTTACAAAAAAAAAAATGGAAAAGAAAAAAGAAGTGTCTTCATCCTAAAGGCCAAAATCAAAATCATGACCTCAACAATATTGCAATTTCTTGATGATTTAGAAAGCTGAGTTTTGGCCAGTAGAAAGTACTTGTGATGCATCATCAGTTTGTAGATAACAACTTGATAAAAAATTCCAGGTGGTAGTATCTCTCAAGTAGTTCAATGAATGTTAGACAACTGGTAAAAAGTTTTGAGATGGTCTGGCTGTTTCTACACAACTTTTAAAACTGACAGGAGGAAATCTTGGCACAATCCTGAATTGGTCCAGTAACAAGCACGGGGTACATTTTTTTTTTTCCTCTGATTATAAAGTAGACACCATGGAAATAATATGTGGGGGAGGAAGTGGAGATGGACCTGTTGACTGTAGGCCCCTTGCTCTGATTAGGCCCAGTGAAGGATCATTGGAAGAGGGTGAGATAAGGCAACTGTATAGAGATTGGAGGATGAAGCCCATAAGCTCTGTGTGGGAAATGATAAAAGATGGAGGCATTGATGGGGCGGGGGAAGGTTATTGTGTTGGATACAATACTGAGGGAAGCCTCCATTTTCTTCATAGATCAGGCAAGGGGGAAATAAAAATTAAGGCATTAGGAAAAAAGGCTTCACTAGCTTCTTTACAACAGACTAGGCATAGAGATAAGGAGGGCGAGTGCTCATGAACATAGCCCATAAACAAATTACCTTTGAATAAGATTCTTGAGGCCTCTGTGGCTTCCTTTAATAGAATCCATGTGCAAAATACATGGTACCTTCGACAATTTTTTGACATCTTCATCTGCAGAGTGGTTGCTGATATGAAGTGTAGAAAATCGCAATAATAATAAAAATAAAAATAAAAAAAACCCAAGAAATATATCTCTACAACTGCCCCCTAGGTTCTATTACCTCGGCATCCTGAGGTGATGGAACCTACATCGATATTTCTTTCTGCATAGTGGCTCAAAAACTGTTTGGCCGAAATAATTTATTTTTAAGCCGATGTATTCTCTTCGGAGAATAAGAATTCAAATGTACTCTATCACGCGCATGAGCTGTCATGCACATCTAACCGTTCCTTTCCCGTGCTTTGTCTTTATTGGCCCGTGTCTGTGACGCGCCTACAAGCTGTCTTTTATTCGTCTGCGCCGTCTGACGTATCCGGTGCTCCAGGCGCAATAAATGCCTTATTTTGCCGCCGTTTTAAGTTTTTTACAGACCTTTTCTTTCCCTTTTCTTTTCTTCACTTTTTGCATTCTGATTTCTTGTTTTCTCTCTCTCTAAAAGCTTTAGCATTCTTCGAATCCGCCATTGTTCTAAGTCCCAAATTCTGTGATCATCCTTACTGTTCCATTTCCGCGAAGCTTTCGCTAGTGTTACAACTGTCGTCTGGTCTCGGTAGAGATGGCAATCTCAACCCGGCCCGACGGGGACCCGACCCCCCGACCCCGATTAGAATGGTTTTTCCCCGAAAAATATCCCTGTGGGGACGGGGATGGTATTCAAAATTGAACCCCCGATCAGTTTCGGGCCGGGGACGGGGATAGCTTTCACAGCCCCGGACCCGGCCCGTCCCCGACCCCGGCCCCGGCCCCATTTCCCCGATGTGAAATTACTGTTATGCCCCTCTGTATATATATATATATACAAATCAAATCCTAAAACATAAAACACTCTCATCGTCTCTGTTATGCCCCTCTCTCATCTCTTTCTGGGTCTCTCTCGCTCTCTCTCTCTTTCTCTCTCTCTAACCCTCTCATCACCACCACCGATTGATCTCCCTCCCTCCGATCGATCTCCCTTCCTCTGTTGTAAGCATCGTCAAACACACTACCGCCGTTGTTCGCGAGAAGAAGAGGGCGGAGAGTGGGCCAGAACTGTCGCTCGTCATGCCACGTGTTGGTACCCAAGAAATATATCCCCACAACTGCCCCCTAGGTTCTATTACCTCGGCATCCTGAGGTGATGGAACCTACATCGATATTTCTTTCTGCATAGTGGCTCAAAAACTGTTTGGCCGAAATAATTTATTTTTAAGCCGATGTGTTCTCTTCGGAGAATAAGAATTCAAATGTACTTTATCACGCGCATGAGCTGTCATGCACATCTAACCGTTCCTTTCACGTGCTTTGTCTTTATTGGCCCGTGTCTGTGACGCGCCTACAAGCTGTCTTTTATTCGTCTGCGCCGTCTGACATATCTGGTGCTCCAGGCGCAATAAATGTCCTGTTTTGCCGCCGTTTTAAGTTTTTTACAAACCTTTTCTTTCCTTTTTCTTTTCTTCACTTTTTGCATTCTAATTTCTTGTTTTCTCTCTCTCTAAAAGCTCTAGCATTCTTCGAATCCGCCATTGTTCTAAGTCCCAAATTCTGTGATCATCCTTACTCTTCCATTTCTGCGAAGCTTTCGCTACTGTTACAACTGTCGTCTAGTCTCGGCGAATATTGCTTCGGCTTCAGTTTATCCGGTAAGCAACTGGCCCCCTTACCCTCTTTTCTAATTCTTGATTGTTTCTAAAGTTTCTTGCTATTACTGTTCTGTTTAAGTGTTATTCGTGAATCGTTCACCTGAATGCGTCTTATTTCATGATTTTATGAACACTTGCACTGTTTCACTACTGTTCTTGGCCCTTAACCCTTTGTATTCTTCGTGTTCTTGATAGCCCATCCCTGTTCTTGTCTCTGAAACTTCGCTTTTGTTCTCTGTTTTTTTGTTTTTTTACCAGATTTGTGCCCCCGATCTTCATCTTTATAATTTTAGGTTTGGGATTTGTCTGTAGAACCTTCAATCTCTAGGAAAAACTGAAACAAACTTTACCAGCCCTTTCCCAGGTTTTGAAACCGAGGTTCTAGCAACCCTTTTGAAACACCTATTTTCTAAAACACAGCTTTCTGAACTTAGGCCGACGTTATGGGTATGTGGAGACATCGAGTAAATTCCCCAACAAAACTTGAATACTTTAGGCAGGAGTTCTCCATCCCAGCCGATGTTCACTTTAGGCTTGCTGGCGATGGTGATTCCATCATGCCCACAGATCATACGATGCCCTTTCCTATTGTAGCCTTTACTGAATGTGGACTCCGGCTTCCACTCAATCCCCTCTTTCGCGAGGTTCTCCACTTCTATGGGTTGAACCCTATGCAACTTACCATCAACTCTTATCGAGTGATTAATGGTATCATAGCCCTGGCTAGGCAAGAGAACGTTAGGATCACCCTTGCCGATATTCAATTTTGTTATACCATGTGCCCCCTTAACCTGAAGGAAAGAGGTTATGTCTACTACCTCAAGCCGGGGTCTACCGAGTTCAAAATTGTAGCCGACCTCCCGGATTCCAACAAGGGAGCCGGGGATGACTTTGTCATTGCTTCGGGAAATTGGGAATTTGGCCCAGACGAAGATGTTCACCTCTACCCTCTTCCTCGAACAGTTAAAGAGGGCAAGGGTAAGAGCCCAGTGCCAATACTTAGTTATTCCTTTTCCAAGTCTTCAAAACTTTATCTGTTTCTAATGACTGTTTGCTTGTCCTGCAGATCTTCATCAACCACCAAAAAACTTTCGCCAATCGTTCTTCCCAGGAAAAGATTTAAAGAAGCTCCTTGACCTTCCAATCCACAAGCGCAAGGCTCACCTGCTACTAAATTTTATCTTGACATACAAATCCACACTGCCCGACGTCCTAAAAAGGAATAAAAAGAGTCTTTCTCCACCTTCTGCCACAACTCCTTCCATTGCTTCCATACCACGAGCAGACGAAGGATCCACTTCTGACCCAGTCGATCTGCCATCTTCTTCAGCCCCATACTTGATCCCAATACCAGAAAGAAAACGACGGCGCCATCTTGTCAAAACTGCTGAAATGGGTCGCGCAAAGCCAATTGCTCAAAATCTCTTAGCCGACCTTCCGACTGATGCTGATGTTGTACCGACCCAACCAATGCCCCCACCGAAGCCGAAAAGAATCAAGAAGGCCCAGCCTAAGGCCAAGGCTGTTGAGGGAAGATAGTTTGCCTATCTCAAAACTGGCTGAGAATAAGAAGACTTCTTCTGCTCCTGCGAAAAGGTCTGCCGAGACCCAGCCCTCCGAGTCTACCCAATCAAATAAGCCGAGGTCCTCCTCTGCAACGACTTTAAAATCCAAGGTGCCAAACGTCCCTTGGACGCCCGAGATTACCCTGGAGGACAAGCCGGTCATGGCTACTGACAGTGCCGACGACATTAATGTCGGCGTTGCCCTTAGTACAGCTCTTCTTCTCCCAGGTGATCTGGAAAAGAATACTGGAATGAGTGAGTATGAAAATTATGCTTTCATGCTTCAACACTGTGTTCAAGTAAGTGTCTTCACTTGGTGACCTGTCTTGTCCTTATTTGTTTATAAAACTTCTGTAATAACTTCTTGCTTTTGTGTTCTTTCAGGCTGTTCAGCATGCCCACTCTTTCTCCATGCAATCTTTTGAGAACAGGGAGAAGTTAACTGACTTGCAGAAGGAGTATTCTGCACTCCAGAAGATCAACAAGGGTCTTCAAGCAAAAGTGAAGAAATTGGAAGACCAGGCCAAGGCTGCCACTAAAGCCCAAACTTTGGCCGAAGAAAAGGCCGAGGCTGCTGAAGCTATAAAGAAAGTTGCGGAAGCGCAGAAAAATGAAGCCGAGGACAAGGCCACCCAAGCCGAGAAGGAGCTTCAGGAGGCCTTGGCCACGAAAAAGGCTGAAATCAAAGAAACTGATGAAAAGGCTTATGCGCAGGGCATGGCCGACGTCGCTAAGGAGTACAAGCTTCAAGTCAGGGAAGCATGCAACAGGGGATTTTCCCTTGGTTGGATGTCTCTGCTAAAAAAACTTGACCTCCCTGCTAACTCGCCTTTCCGTAATGTCGACGCCATTCCTCTCCCATTTCCACCAAGCCAAGCCGAAGAAGAATCTGGGTCGGAGCCCGAGGATGTAGATGGTCAGGATGCTGAGGCCTTATGAAGAAACCTAAGGGTGATGCTGGGGTCAAGTCTCCTTCTCAAATTGAGCCCATCCTGGACTTAACTTTGGATGAAGAGGGTGATGATGTCGGGGAGGCGCCTAGGGAAGCTGTTACAGGGGTATTATCGTCCGACCTCCTATTAGCTGAAAGAAGTCTTAACAAAACGCTTGCAGAGATTGATGCCGAGCTGGCAGCAGAGAAGGCCGCTGAAGTAGTTCCACAGGAATCTGCCGAGGTTCAGACCCAAATTGCTTCTGAAGCAGAAGAATCATAACTTCCATGTTTTTTGTACTTTTTTGTTTGTTTGGCAATATAGGTTTCTTTGTATGGCCGATGTGCCTTTTTCTGAACAATTTTTCTTATGGTTGCCTCAATCTTTTAATGTCTTTTTGATTTGCTTCTGCATTTTGCTACCTTTGTGCAATCTCCTCGGGGTTACATACCTCGGGTATAATAACATCAAACTTTATTTCGTCAAGATTCAGTCCTGAAAAACTTTTGAAAAAATTCCAACAAGTGTTTAACATATACAATTCAATGTTTACTGTAAGTTTCTTCTTAAGTTTCAACAAGTACGTAAACAGTAATTTCGGTTTAACCTACTTGTAAATTGCTGCAAATTTCAACAAGTGTTAATATATACTGTAATGTTTTCTTCAAGTTATAACAATGATCTACTTGTAAATTGCTACGAATTTCAACAAGTGTTTAAACAATATACTATGCTTTTACCTCAACTTGTAAATTGCTGCAAATTTCAACAGATGATCACATGTCGGCTTAACATTATCTTGTAAATTGCTATAAATTTCAACAAGTGTTAAGCATCTTCTTTGGTTGGATCATCCTGTAGATTGCTATAAGTGTGCAAACTATAACCTCGTCTT